CAAAGGTTGCCAACTATTTGAAACCAACTGTTGTAGGCATGCTCCTACATGAGAACTCGATGCATCTGTAAACAGACCTAGAGATTTGTTGGGAATTGGATGCATTAAAAGTGTTGCTTGTGAAAGACTTTCTTTACATTCTACAAAAACCCGCTCTAACTCAGGTGTCCAGGGCATAGGTTTGTTACCGGTAAGTTTTGTATCAGTCAAGGCCTTTATTAATGGAGCTTGGGTTTTAGCTGCATGGGGTAGAAACCGACGATAAAAATTTAACATTCCTAAGAACCGTCTAACACCTTGGGCTGTTTTAGGTAAAGGATATTCTTGAAGAACAGTGATACGTTCTGGAGGAGGACGAGTTCCTTGTTTAGATATACGGTATCCAAGAAACGTTACCTCGTCAACCCCAAAAACACACTTTATTGGATTAATTACAACTCCATATTGATCCAGTCTTTGAAAAATAATACGAAGATGCTGAAGGTGCTGTTCCTGACTTTGGGAATACACCAAAATGTCATCGACATATGGAAAACAAAAATCTAGGCCGAATGTGACTTCATCTATAAATCTTTGAAATGTTTGACCAGCGTTACGTAGACCGAACGTCATAAAGGGAAATTCGAAGAGACCAAATGGAGTAGTAATTGCAGTCTTGCAAATATCATCTTCAAAAGTAGGAATTTGTTGGTAAGCTTTTACCAAATCCAATGTTGAAAATATAGTGCAACCAGCAAGATTATGAGCAAAATCCCCTATATGACGAACGGGATAGCGGTCTGGTACAGTTCGAGCATTCAAAGCACGATAGTCACCACACGGACGCCAGGACAAATCTTTTTTAGGTGCCAAGTGTAAAGGCGAAGACCAAGGACTTTTAGAAGGTCTGGCTGTTCCACATCTTACCATATCTTCGAACTCCTTTTTTGCAATCATAAGTTTTTGAGGGGCAAGACGGCGAGGGCGACAAGAAACGGGTGGTCCGTCAGTTGTTTTTATATAATGCATAGTGTTATGCTTTATTTCCCGTGGAAAACCAGGAGGTCGTATAATAGAAGGAAAATCCAGTAAAAGTCGTTGATATGGTGAATCAGGTAAAACAGTGATAGCTTTTACACTAGACTGCGAACATGAAGCAATAAAGACAGTTGCAGAGAGTCCGGTCTTGCCATCCAATATTTTTTTATTTCTACAGTCTGGAAGTAAATGATAGTAAGCAAGAAAATCAGATCCAATTATTGCAGTACTGACATCGGCAACGACGAAACGCCAATGGAAATCGCGCTTTAGACCGAGATCTAACTTTAAATTAATTGTACCAAAAGTTTTAATAATACTACCGTTTGCTGCATTTAATTCATAGTTAGTCGGTAAACATCTGCTCTTCAATAGTTTTCTAGGATAACAACATATATCCGAACCAGTATCAACTAAAAAACGAACGTTAGAATTACGGTCGTTAATAAAAAGGCGGCGAGATGAAGTAAAACAATCAGCTGCCGCCGCTACTGATTGTTTGTCATGTTTTTCTGAGTCCACGAGCAAGGACTAACACATTTTAAAGCCTTGTCTTTAAAAATTTTGTGATACCAGCAAACGTGCAAAATTTGTGATTGTGACTGATTGCGCTGACCACGAACATTCATTAAAGTATCTACCTGATCAGCAATTTGATCAACTCTTTTTGCTAAATTAGATATTGTATTAGAAATTGACAATCCTGACGTTGCGTAAACCGATGGTGCGGAATCGGAGACATCCATTATACGATCAGCTAATTCGGCAATATTATTGAGTGATAAATCAGGTTGAGTTGTTAAAATTGCCTGAATGCTTTGTGGAAGAGCACGCAAAAATAAATGACGCAAAATCCTTTCATCGTTAAAAGATGTACCCGCTAGTGATTTTAAATATCGTAAAAATTGCGATGGTTTTTTATCACCCAATTCTGACTCGCTTAATAACTGATGGAAACGTTGTTCATCAGAGCAACTCAAACGTCGAATAAGTTCCTTTTTTAATATGTCAAACCGTTGTTCTAAAGGTGGATTCGTAATTATATCCTCCACTTCAGCTGCTATACGAGAATCGAGTTGCGCAACTACATAACTATATTTTGTATTTTGTTCAGTAATCCCTGATATAGTAAACTGTGCCTCTACCTGAGCAAACCATACAGTAGGTTTATCTGCCCAAAAAGGAGGCAATTTAGCTGACACCTTACATATATTGCTCTCGAGAACAGCAGATGTGGAGGGTAAAGATTGGACAATAGAGTCGTTGTTAAGCCTGCCCTTAAGAGAAACATTCTCACTTAATATAGTTTGCACTTGAGATTGCAATACTTCCACCAGCTGTTGCAATTCCGTCAACTCTACTTCTTTACGCTCTGTCATGTTCGTTCACTTAAAAAATAAAATAAACATTAATAGTAAAATAAAAATAAAATACTAACTTACATGAAAATTAGGTAGAGTGGCGGTAATATAGTGTCGTTAACTTCTATATATAAAATATATATATATATATATTACTATTGTTATACATAAATACAAAGGACACGTAGTTTTATCTGTTGTTGTTGACTTGTTGTATCTCTTCTGACTTCAGAATGCGATAACTATAATGACGTCTCTTTGTTGGTCTTCAGTTTAAAATGTTGTAGACACAGAAACAGCATTAACTTTAGCAACGACGATCATCAATGAACGTGGAAATGGACTTCTTATTAATTCTCGCACCCATTTGAAATGTAGTATGTCTTGTTTTAGATACTTCGAAGCACGCCAATAAGTTGTATGGATGTAACTTAACGGTATCTTTATATTAAACAATCTGGGGTCACCAATATGGAAAAGTATATAACATTTTCCATTTAATAATATTTTAATAATATTTTAATAAATAAAACACGTTTTAGTAATCTGACAGCATCGTATGACAGTCCATATTTTTATTCGTCTAAATTTTCATTTTTACATTCATAAAAACAAAGAGGTCGGTTGATAAGAATGACATTATACAACCGCCACAAACATGTCATTTATAAATATTTTTACGATAACCGACGGAAAATGGCCGGTAGGCAAATTTGAGAGATAAGCTACGGATAGTAAGTTTGACAGCTCTATCGAAAGATATTGAAACACCTGTTTGCGCCATTTTCATACATTTTGCCTACGAACGGTTATCAGTATCAGATCAATCCGTTAGTGGCACACCGTCGGTAGTTTTACCTACCAATGGTATGTTATTGAAACACTTTTTTGCTACTATCGGTAGGAAATGCTACGGATGGTAGCAAAAACGGATAGTTTTTTGGTTATTGAAACCGGGGGTAAATTGGACATTATCAGTGCTATTTATAAACAAGGTTTAGCATTAAAGTAAATTTACGCTAAAATCGCAATTTTAGTATTAGTCCAAATTCATATTATACAGAGAATAAACAAACGTACTACCTTCTAGGTGTAAATATAACCCTTGTAGAACCTGGTATGAGGTTACCCTAAGTCTCTATTTAATAATGTGAATTTTGACTAATAATAAGTGAAGTCTCAGCGTAAATTTACTCCAACGCTAAACCTAATTTATTAATAACAAAGTATGATAATTGGACTGGAGGTATATGGTTAGTGATACCCATGGTCATCTTTTAACGCTGACATAATACTTTGTGTCTGCCTGTTTTTTCATCTCCTCTAGAAACAAAACATATAGACACAGAGCTTGTGATAAAAATGTGCAAGAGCTTGTTCACGTTTGTGTAATCTGAACAGTTTACTCTACTTTTTGATGTTACATATTATACTAATAAAAAGCAACTTTAATATGTGTTATGATTATTCGTACTTAACATTGCCCAGCTTACTTCAACACACAAAAATTAACGCCAATTTAATTCACAATCCGACTGTTACACAGACAAATCGTTAATAAAATCCACACTTCTTCGACTTCTCACCTCACGTAACTACTCTCGTTTCACAATACTGTTCGATCGTCCCGATAGTTCACTTCAGTAGTTTTCACTTCGGATTTAATTTGTATTCGCTCTCGTTTTCAGTTCATTGATCACTGAAAGAATGCCAAGACGGGTAGTCCACCGGGTTTTTATAGGGGCCGATCAATCATACAGCATACTCAATGAAATTTTAATTTACTTTCAAAACTATTAAGCTTTTGAAAAGGAAGTAAAAATACATTTTTAGTTTTGACAATAATAAGGCGGTTTATCTAGTCATTTATTATTTGTTTATTTAAATTTATAGATAAAAAAATCCCATCTCTTGTTTTATGACGAATTGTTTAAGTATACCTCTATAAATAGAAAGCTCTTGCACATTTTTTGATATCCTCTTAGACTAACAACCGGTTTCTGAATGAAGAATTCAAAGTTAAGAATGTCCCAAACTGTAGTTAAACGTCACTTAAACAGGTTCGTTTCTGATTTTAATGTTTAGGGTTCCGTACCAAACTGCTTAGTTAAAACGGGAACCCTATTACTAAGACTTCGCTGTCTGTCTGGTACCTGGCTGTATCTTATGGATCGTGAAAGTTAGACAGTCGAAATTTTCACAGATGGTAAATACATCATGTTGTCACTTAAAAAAAATATTAAAAAGCATTCTAAAATAAATATTTAATATTTATATACATAACAAACGTGATTTTTTTATACGTAACCATGAAGGGTTACGTATAAAAAAATCACGTGTCCGACTCGCCCTTAGCCGATTTTTTTAATAATCAGTCGATAGCAATTTCATTAAACTAGGACTTTTTCAGCCAGTTGCACAGTTAAAAGCGACATTAACCATACAAATTTGACTTTCATAGAGCTTAAAGGCGTCATTAAACTTTAATGGACGATTGTTCATCTGACCGTTTGCCTCATGAAACCTAAAAAAACGGGAGTTATTCAGAATACTCAGTTGAGATTGTGTACTTTTTAATTCAGAAACCGGCCGTGATAGATTAAAGTGTTATGATGATCTGACCGGTGAGGTAAGCGACTGTGTGATGTGTGACGTGGAACTTGTCGTTGCCGCGCGCCGTGATGGCGAGTAACGCGGCGAGCACGCGGCACGTGCGGGACACAGTACCGGGCGCCGGGTGACGGTAACCCTTTATGAGGTGACCCACCAGGGCGAAGTGGAAGTTGGATCGGAAACTGCATCACCACAAAACAACCTTTCAGTTTACACTTTTAAAGGTTTATAAATTTAATACAAACTCCATACTTTGCGGTTCAAAGGGCGTAATTGACAAAACGCGACTTTTCTAGAGTATCAAAAAATTAAAATTATTTTTCACAATTTTGTTGTTATCTATTCTATAAATAGGATTGTTACATCAAAAGTTGTCAATTTTTTATGGTGGATCATAATAAAATATAATATTTTAGGAATGTTTAAAATATAAAATTTTGCAGTTGAATACGCCTCACAAAGTCAAATATGTATGTCTTTTACAGCCCATTAAAAAATGACAGTGTCATGATAAGTAGTTCTAAAAGAGTATACTTAATACAACAATGTTATACCCCTTTGAGCCGCAAAGTATTGATATGACTACTTCTTTATACTACGCTTAATTCGAAAACGTTTCTTAATATATACATTTCATTCAGAAAATGCAACTCCCAATTATAAGATCAGTTATAAGAATGAACTTTAAGTTAGGTTATCGATCAATACAAGTTGTTACTTGGTTTCTGAGTGCATAAAAGACAGTAGTACAAACTGACAAGAGTCGGAGTCACTAAATAGTTCAGGGCATCGAGGGGTGTTAACAGTTTTCGAATAAAGAGGCATATATGGGTAAACGCATTTGCTGTCACATTTTCTCTAATGATTTTAATATGAAGATCATCATCACCATAATTATTACCCTGTCCCACGGCAGGATTTCTCTATGGGATGAATAGATTACAAGAAACTCACGCAGGTCTGGGGCAGATTCCTGGTTGTTAACAACTGCAGTTGCAGCTAGGACCAAAGGCTTAACATGCCTTATGAAGTACGGAGGAGTGAGAGACAACAATTTTTTGCCACACATCCTATGAAAGTTCCTGAGAAAGTATAACCTCCGAAAAACAACTGCCAACATATTTTCGAGTCTTTATAATAACTCCTAAAAGCACTAGAGCATCCTTGTGGCTTATTTCAACTATATTACTGTATAATTCAAAATTTCAAATAGAGGAAAAGTATTGTTTAGAAATAAAAGTAAAAAAACAAGCGTTATTATTTACGTACCTCAATCCTACAGCATGGTCTAGTTGTTTGAAATGCCACTCCAATGGTTCTCTCGTCTCCATCATGGCTTGTTCCAACGTCTGCACGATATATTTATATCTTACTAATATTATAAAGGGGAAAGTTTGTAAGTTCAGGGAAGGGAATCGTTTTCAAAAGACAATATGTTTTAAAAAGTTAGTTTGTTTGCTTCATGTGCTGCCATCTACACTGAGCTTTGCGTTATACACTCTGTTCGATTCGCACTCGATAATTTATCATGCATTAATCTTACCTTACTATCGAATTGTCCCTGTGAATCGAGCGTATGTAGATTCTGCTCCATGAGTGCTAATCCAGCGGCGTAAAGTGTCGGATCATCTAATTGCAGAACTGACAGTGATACCCAAAAGAGGGCTTTGTGAATAGGCGACTCCTGGAATAGAAATTTCATCATCGATTAACCGAATAATATACGAGATTTAGTATTAGATACCTTAACGATTGTTCCGTAATGAAGCAGTTTTTCGCATAAAATATATATTTAATTTAATTTCGATGGTGTGATAAGCACAATTCCGTTTCTAAATTGTTTGGGATTTATTACTTCTTAATTATGTAATTTCTAAGCCCGTCGCTCATTACAATTTTCAAACAAACGAAGTTCAAGACATTGCGCCTTTCAACGTGTTACGTGCGGCTGCATATGTGATAATTTTTACAATATATTTCGTTCATTACGTGCGTGAGATTTAATAAAAAATTGAAAATAACTTTTCCCGTTTACTATAAGCGTATTCGGTGTGAAAACCACAAGGAGGAAGCTTTAAACAGTGACCTATCAAAATTTTGTGTGGTCACTCCTGCTATTTGACCGCCGTCCAGAAGGAACGTGCAGGCCCGGCTAACGAGAACATAGATGAGTGGACAGTCTTCTTAACAACGATAAATCTATCAATACAGTAAAAAAAGACTAAATTCCGTTAAACAAATATTGTTACGATATTATACGTAGGAGGTATCGTTTATTACATTTTATACGACGAACAATTCTAGATAGAGCAATCGTGGGAGGTTCGCTTCGTGAAAGAGGCGTGGTATCGAGCCATACACTCTTTTGGGACACGTTGATCAGGGGGCCAATTCTACTAAATAAATTTTGTTTAAATCGAATAAAAATTTTGTTTAATCCAGTTCTATTTTAGCTGGAATTGTATCGTATGTCACTTAGTAGAATAGAAAAACCATTAAAAACTGTAGTTTCGTTCAGTTCTGATCCGTTTTCGATTCGATCAAATTTGTCAAATTTAATTAAGCGTATGTTTAGTTATTTTTATATAGTTACAACAATGGTCCACATTGCATATGTTGTGACAGACTTTTATTTCTATCTACATTATATTTAGAGTAGGATTGAGTTTTTACACTGTGGTATTATTATAAGCTAGTTAACAAGTATCTAATTGTTTAAACATACTGTGTGAAGTTTTAATATTATTTAATTTTTTTTTTTTTTACTCTAATATTGTTTCTGATTTTCAGAACAAGTGAACAGCCGAACAACAACAGCGTACTTAGCCTTGCAATATATGTATTTTTTTCTAATACTAACATCATCATCAGCCCATATTCGTCCACTGCTGGACATAGGCCTCCCCAATTGCACGCCATCTACTTCTATTTTCGGCTGTTCGCATCCAGCTCCTGCCAGCCATCTTGCGCAAATCATCACTCCACCGCGCCTGAGGACGTCCTACACTACGTTTGCCGAGACGCGGTCTCCACTCAAGAACTCGTTTACTCCAACGGTTATCGGTTCTGCGGCTAATATGGCCAGCCCACTGCCACTTCAGCTTGCTAATCCGGTGGGCTATGTCGATAACCTTGGTTCTCTGCCGGATCACCTCATTTTTTATTTGATCCCGCAGAGAAACGCCGAGCATAGCCCTTTCCATAGCCCGCTGAGCGACCTTCAACTTGTGGACCAGCCGTGCCGTCAGTGTCCACGTTTCGGCTCCGTATGTCATAACGGGTAGGACGCACTGATTAAAGACTTTCGTCTTTAGGCACTGCGGGATCGACGTTGTGAAGACCTGACGTAGTTTTCCAAACGCTGCCCAACCTAACCGAACTCTTCCATTTACCTCGCTCTCGAAGTTGTTTCTACCTAACTGCAATGTTTGCCCGAGGTATACATATTTTGGAACAATTTCGAGAACGGCACCGCATACTGCAATCGGTTCCGGTAGTACGTGTTCGTTGAACATGACCTTGGTTTTATCCAAGTTCATCCGTAGGCCGATGCGCATAGAAGAGTCAGCCAGGTCATTCAGCATCTGTTGTAGGTCCTGCAGATTTTCTGCCATGATGACGATGTCGTCAGCAAATCTCAAGTGAGAGATGTACTCGCCATTGATGTTGATGCCACGTCCTTTCCAGTTCAGCGTCTTAAACATATCCTCCATTGCATTAGTAAACAATTTCGGAGACATAACGTCTCCTTGTCTCACTCCTCGATGCAACGGTATAGGACTTGTCTGCTGATTCTGTACTTGGACGGTCATGGTGGCGGCCTCATAAATACATCTTATCACTTGGATGTATCGCCAATCGACTTGGCATCGCTGCAGGGACTCCAGAACGGACCAGATCTCAATCGAGTCAAAGGCCTTCTCATAGTCCACAAATGCTAGACACAGGGGCTGATTATACTCTTCAGTCTTCTGTATAATTTGCCGCACTGTGTGGATGTGGTCTATGGTGCCGTATCCACTCCGAAACCCAGCCTGCTCCGGTGGTTGGAATTCGTCAAGTCTTTGCGCAAGACGGTTCGTGACTACTCTAGAAAACAGCTTATAGACGTGGCTTAGAAGGGAAATGGGTCGATAGTTCTTCAGCAGGGTTTTGTCTCCCTTTTTGAAGAACAGGACGACTACACTCCTACTCCACGCCTGCGGAGTTCTCCCTTCGAAGAGGACTGCATTAAAAAGCTTTTGGAGCTCCTTCAGTACTGGTTTACCTCCTGCTTTTAATAATTCGGTTGTAATGCCATCCTCTCCAGGGGCTTTTCCATTTTTAAGCTGTCTCAGAGCGATCTCGATTTCGCCAATGCTGACTTCTGGCAGATCTTCGGTGTAGTGGCGTGTTAATGTGGCTCTAGAATCCTCATTTCCGGGATCAGGTCGAGGTGCATGCGAAGCGTATAACCGGGCATAGAAATTTTCTACCTCTGAGAGGACCGCTGGCTTCGAAGCAACGACTTCCCCGCTTGCTGTGGTCAACTTCGTCAAGTGGCTTCTTCCAAGAGATTGTACGAATACTTTTGACCCCCTGTTTTGCTCGATCGCTCTTTCTATAGCGTGAGTGTTGGAGCACCGGAGGTCATATCGTACGCGTTTGCTGATCTCCTGGTTTTGAGCACGTTTTCCTGACGAAGTGACAGGTGGGTTTTCACGTCGTTCCTTCATAAGCCCCAAAGTTCTATCCGAGAGCTTAGACTTCCCGCCCTTACGCTGCATGTTACAAAATTTCGTACCTTCTTCCCTGAGTATTCGAACCACATTTTCAAGGTTCTCGTCAACGTCAATTGTGGGTTCCATGGCAGCGAATCGGTTCTCAAGATTTGACTTGAACGTTTCAGATTCCATCATGGTTTGGAGTGGAGTAGGTCGGAGCCTGGCCTTCATCAAGCGGACACGTTCAGCTTTGAAGTCGATATTCAGAGAGCCTCGGACAAGTCGGTGATCGCTGCCGGTATTAAACCTATTGATCACGGAGACATCTCTGAATACGTGTTTTTTGTCCGCTATAATGAAGTCGATCTCATTTTTTGTCACATTGTCGGGGCTTTGCCACGTCCACTTCCTTTGGGGCTGTTTCCTAAAGAACGAGTTCATAAGGAAGAGCCCCCCCCTCCCGTTCGAGGAAGTTAACGAGCATTTGCCCCCTATCATTCCTGCTTCCAAATCCATGGGATCCTACTACCGATTCGCCGCAATTTTGTACTCCCACTTTAGCGTTAAAGTCCCCCATAACAACGCTGTAGTGGGTCTTAGTAGTGAAGTGGAGTGCCCTCGATATATCATCGTACATATTCTCCACTTCATCGTCCGAGTGTGTCGAGGTCGGTGCGTACACTTGAACAACCTTGAGGCTATACCTCTCAGTGAGCTTTACAATCAGGTACGCTACCCTGTTCGACACACTGGAAATTTCTACAACGTTGTCAGAAAGGGACTTATTGACAAGAAACACAACGCCACCTTGTGATTGTTGGTCTCCCTCGCGGAAGTACATTAGGTGGCCTGATTCGAGGGTTATGGTATCCTCCCCCTCTCTTCGAACTTCACACAATCCCAATATGTGCCACCTAATCTTTCCAAGCTCCACCTCAAGTTGAGCCAGATGCGAGTCAAGCCGTAGCGTGCGTCCGTTGTACGTCGCCAGGGTCAGTCGGTTGTGGTGGCCTCCCGTAGCCCGGAGATTCTTAGCACCCCCTGCCTTGCCGTTACCATGGTCGCCACCATGACCAGGAATAGCGAGGCCGCCGGGAACTAGGGGCCGTGGCCTTTTGTGCTTTCGCATTTGGGGGATATGCCCATAATCGCCACGCTGGGCAAGCGGGTTGGCGATCGCAGTATGGTCCGGTTCTGTGGCCCGCACAAGAAGACGCTGCTGCCCATCTCCTTGGGTTAAATTTCCCTTAGTCGCCTCTTACGACACCCACGGGATGAAAAGGGGTAGTACAATTCTATACCGGTACTACACGGCCAATCTAATACTAACAGTTCATTTCAAGTTGGCTATCGCCGATCGTTTCTAATGACATCACAGATACCGTCAATAAAGAAATAATAATTCTGTTTCAACTTGGCTTAACTTAACATTTGACGATTATTAAACTTTACAAAATAACTACATAGCAAAACAAAAATAATAATCTTCTATAATATAAAAATGAATCGCAAAATGTGTTGGTAAGCGCATAACTCAACAACGCCTGGACCAATTTGGCCAATTCTTTTTTTTAAATGTTCTTTGAAGTTCAAGGATGGTTTATACGAGAAAACCGTAAAAACAGCCATTTTCTTTTTCTCATACAAACGTTTTCTAACTAAAACGTTGAGTCAATTTGAGCTCTATTACTATTGTATAAAGTTCATATTAAATTACAAGCACTCACTGTTATCTAAGCAATGTAGGTGTGTTCCTAACGTCAAAGAGTCAATTTGCACTTTATTACCGCTATACAAAGTTGAAATTCAATCATATCAATACAGTGTGCGTGTGTGCGTTGGAGCACAGAATACATCGTTGGAGGATTTAATGCCGCGTTCCGAAACTCAATTAAAGTAAATCATTAGTACTGATTTTCAATTTGGTCGGCTTTGCGATATTATTTCTTTTGTTTTACTTTCAGCACGCGACATAAAATGCATCAGTTTTCACGTCATGACATCAGTCAAACACAAACCGCGTTACCAAAAGTGTTTTATTATTTATTATTTTACACACATAAAAAATTGGTACGGCCTGAAGGATTTGATTCCAAGTCATATCAAATTTAAAAAAAGTTGAAAATTGAAACAACAACAAACTGTCGATGTTTAGTTAGTTAAAAAAAAAACTAAGAAAAATAAACTGTCGATGTCAATTTGCCGGTGTGGAAGTATTATTTTCTTGGATTTTCTGTTACTTATTCTACTGAGTTTGCTTTTGTCAACTGATACTGTCTAATACACGAAACAAATTCGTATATCGTGTTTTGTGCAGAGTGTTTAGTTACCTATGATCACTATTTATTATAATAATAATATTGCATGTGACACAATAATTTATATTTGATATGCCTCCTATTTTTTGCCCCGACTATAAAATAAGTAGGAACAAATAACTGCCACATTACAAATCTTTTTGACAGGACGAAGTCTGTCGGGTCCGCTAGTTCATAAATAAAAATAGAAGTACGCGATGTCGTTGCTTACGGTACTCAGAGGGTCTGTCAGGACGTGCGGTACGGTGCAGTGGGAGGGGTGGGAGCGGACGATTCGAAGCGTGCGTCTACTCTATGAATATCTATGGACAACTCACCGGATGCAGCAAAGGTTGTAATCTCGTCAGACACATGATCAGAGCCTCCAATAGAGCGAGGTCATTGAACGACTCCAAAGCTTTCACCAATATACGTAGAAGTTGCTTCATATCATCGTCGGTCACGTTTTTACCTAGGACAATATTCATATATATGAACATTTTCTGATTCCACAGATGAGATAATGTATGTATCAAATTACATTACAAGTAATCACCATACTTATAATGTAATTAACTCCTCCAAAAAAAAAACATAAATTAGTTAGATGCAGTTTTCATTTTTGAATAGGAGAGCCTCTCTAGTTATTAATTTTGCTAGTAATCAATAAACGGAAATACTTAAGTGGTCTTGTTAATGAATGTATAGTTCAACTCACTTATGCACCCAAAGACGATCAGAGCACGCGGCTGCAACGCAGGATTGAAGCAGAACGCAAAACTCTTAGCCAGCGACGTCCTATTTAATAATAACAATTTCAATGGATATAGGATTTCAAATATCAATACACTTTATAATACTTATTATCATCATCATTAGCCCTTTTACATTCCCACTGCAGGGGCTCAGGCCTTCCTTATGGATGCCTTCCTCTACGCTGGACCAATGCGGATTGGAGGGTATTATCGACTGCAAATGCAGCCGGGACCAACGGCTTAACGTGCCTTCCGAAGCACGGAGTAGAGATAAAAATTTGGTCACCCATCCCGTGAACGACCCTTGCGAAAGTTGCTTAACGACATTGATAGCGGACCGTGACGCTTATCCACTACACCACCGACTTAGTCATAGTTTTAAAGTTGACTATAATAGTTATATGGTTGACTAACCTTATAACTAAGATAAAAAATGTTTGAAAAAAATGTAAAAAACACCTTTCATCATCTGTGTAATGTTCACAATAACAATGTACGCTGTCTGTGCGTCTTCAATTTTATCTACTATTAGAGGATAAACGTCGACTACAATGGGCATCTCTATCTGTCAGTTAGCTGTCACTATCACTTTGACATTGATGTTTAATTAGATCGCGCTAATATTAATATAAAAGTATTCAAATATGTTCGTCGTTATCTTAAATCTAGCAACGGGAAGGAAACTGTCAAAATGGCACTGCCGTAGCGACGTTACCTTAAAATACGAAAAGAAAGGAAAAAACCGTCTAACTAGACTGTTAGTCAGTAGAATAGTTTCTTCAACGCCATCTTGTAGTTTGAAATGTATCAGATAGAGTAAGTAATGCCTTTGGCTCTAATAATATAAGTTTTAATCAATTAATTGTTTCATTTTTTGTGTTTATTTTCTGCTATACGATGGCAGAAGTTACGACAGTACCATATGCATTTAGCTATAACCGGCCATCTTTGTAAAATATGTAAGTAAAGCATATTACGCGAATGTAGTACAAAGAAACTCTTACCATGTATCCAACCAATCACAATCAGGTATATCCCTCATGCAAGCCTCCATGATTTCTAACAGGGCGTCGGTTATAGTCTCCAGCGACTGCAGCGGTAGTCTCTCTCTATCCGTGTGCGTTGGAGCAAAAGGGACAGCGGACGAAGTGCTGGCTATGACGTTACTACCACTTGAAGAGTTCGACTCGGTGCATGTTTGATGCGAGTGTTCGGCAAAACGACTGTATTATTATTAGAAATAAGGTAAATATTAGCACAGGCATTATCTATATCTATACTCATATTATGAAGGTAAAGAGTAGTCCAAATTGAAAAAATATTTTTGTTTTGGATTGTCCATTTATTGAGGAAGGCCGTAGCATATATAACATAACGCTATGACTTATAAGAGTGGAGCAGCAATGTAAAATGTAGTAAAAAAAGAAAATTACGCGAGCGAAGACGCCGGCAAAAAGCTAGTAATACTATACTAGTAATATTATATAACTTTAACTTACACAGCGTCATTTTTTTATTTAACATAAAACTTTATATTATTTTTTAAAGTATCTATACTAATATTATAAAGCTGAAGAGTTTGTTTGTTTGTTTGAACGCGCTAATCTCAGGAACTTCTGGTTCGAATTGAATTTTTTTGTGTTGAATAGACCATTTATCAAGGAAGGCTTTAGGCTATATAACATCACGCTGCAACTATTAGGAGCGAAGAAATAATGGAAAACGCGGACGAAGTCGCTGGCGGCCACTAGTTATAAAATAAAACACGATAGCACGCTCCTATTCCAGAAGGCATCGTTCCTCAACAACACCAAAATCTGTTTAGTTTAATGTAATCATAAGCATTAATAAATTCAAAATTACTTATTCAAGAGACACCAGAAGTCTACACAAAAAGGAATGAATATTACACATAACATCATAAGATAATACATGTTAAAAAAATATAAAACTAGGAGACCTAATGAAATAGTAAGGTTAACACAATGAATACTAACAATGCAATGGTGGCTGATCTTAGAATCTATTCAATAGTGAATATATAGTGGTAACAATAGTAACAACTTACCAATCGTTCGCGTGACGGTTGTAAGGGCTTCTGAACGCTGTCACGGCGGCAGACTTCACCTTGGATATTCCAAACATCTGATAGAACTTTGGCAGAGCGAATTCGTCCAAAGACAACATGAGCACGCGTTGAGTCTCCTCTAATGAAATGAATTACAGAGAAATAAGAGTAATTATTATAGAATATCGGGAACATTAGCGACTTAAGATTTTAGAGCTTATTAGAACTTTTTTTTTCAAAGTTTTTCTTACAATCCAACTTGAAGCAAACAATTATCGTTTGTTTGTTATAGCGGCAAAGGAAATGCATCATCTGTGAAAATTTCAACTGTCTAATTATGGTTCATGACAAACAGACGGACGGAGTCTTTGTATTTATTTAATCTTTTTTGCCTATAAAATAACAAATGGCGGACTTAATTCCAGAAAGACATTTTCTACCAGTCAATACTGGTAAAAATGTATAGTAACTTCAAAAGGCGGTAACAGTAAAATAAAACATACATATTATATATAACATACAATACAAATATACATGAATACATAGTTTAAGGTCTCATATTTCCCCTTTGAGTAAAGAAGCTTAAAAAAATGGCACTTTTCTAAAATTAGCGTTCAAAGTAAATCGATATCTATAATATATAATTTGCTATAAAATTTTTAACATTCATAGCATTATTTTTTATTTTTAAATTACTTTCCAAGTACACACAGCCGCAATCTATATGAAGCGCATTCGGTACAAAGTCTGACGTGCAGCCGTTTATACATATAAATCATTATATTTTATAAATTTTGCATTCTCAACGCTATAATGGAACATGTTGTTAATATGAAAATTCTAAAAATCCACCAGACACAGGCGCTCTGAGATAACCATCTCTAATTTATTAAGAATATTTATAGTTCTATTTATATGGTTGTGTGATATAGCTTTTTAGTGTTTTTGAATATTTAAATCATAAAAATAAGAAACGAATGCTTGTACTGAGAATTGTGTAATGTCTTAAAATGAAGGACTATTTTTTTTTCTTTTAATCTGACATTATCTACTTTTATATTTCTACTAATAAGTGGGAATAATAATTGTATTCATTAATAGTTTTATGCACCAATGATACTTATAATTGAATAATTTTGACATTGGATATAAGACTTTGTAATTTTATCAATATTTGCATGTTATTGCTGATGGCTAAATAGGCTGAACTCGAATGATATTTCAATTTGCAGTATCCCTCATTTAAAAGCAAATGTATCATTATTTTTATTATATAAATTTCTCACCAGAAAAACTGGGCGTAGTGCAAGTACACAACGAGTGTATGATGTTGATGACCAGTCCGTGCGTGGCCGCCCTCATGGACACCGTGCCGGAGCACACGAGGAACGTCACCGTGTGGAACAGGTACGGCAGGTGGCGGGCCACGTCCAGGCAGTTGTTGAACGACAACATCAACTGCGTGGTACCAGGTACGAGATTACATATATAAACAAGAAACAATGTAGAGGCAACTGATTGTGATTGCGATTAATCTTTTCGGCGATATATATATATATATGCGAATGTCGGCCGAAATTCAAGCCGCTAAGTGACGTCACGCAGTGCTAAGGTAGCGAAAAACGTACGGGCGTTTGTAACATCTATTATTAGTGTGTTTATGTTTATAATTGTTAAAATGAAAGTTGTTACATTTTATGTAAGTAATTTAATGTGTTTTAGCAAATTTTTGTTATATATTATTTTCCCTAATTTATTAAGTAAAATATTCATAAATTAAAACAGTTCATATTTTCCGAACATATCTATAATAGAAAACTGTATTTTCTGTATTTTACTTGCAGGACACAACTCTTTTGTAGAGCAAAATACATATAAACTTAACGTGAAAGTAATAGTGTTATTGACAGTTTTTCAAAAATATAGATACAAATAAGCTTAAAAAATATATTTTCCGCAAATTATACAAGATAAAAAATCATCATTTACAAATTGGCATTTTGGATTCGACTCCATGACGACCAAGCATTTATATTATGATGATACTTATTTTAACAGCGATGCACGCGTTAAATAAACAACATATATTTTAATTTTATTTAAACTTACGAATACGTTACGTATGATTAAGTCTACATGAGTTTTTACAAAGACATTGACAGCTGATTCATTGTTATGACGTCATACGCGTCAGATTTTTTTAAAGTCACGTGACACGCAGCTCAAAAATAGCGTTTTCAACTTGCAATAATATACGTAATATATCGTAATACATAAAATATCTAATTATCAAATACCACTAAGTCAGTAGTGATAAACAATGAATTTCTTCAATTTAATCCAACTTTCATATTACATATATCTATATGTAATGTAATGTCAATAATCCCTATCGAATATAAAGAGATATATTACCAAGTATCTGGCGAGTATCGCGATGTCGTCCCACATCATGTGTTGCTCCAGCATGGCGGTGGGCGCGTGGCAAGTCTTGTCCACCACCTGCGAGGAGCCTGCTGGCATTACAACTGATGCACCAACCAAGTATGCGACTATAGTACGGTCGCCGAACACAAAAATAATTTCCTACGTTGATCTTTGTGATTACTGATAGATATCGTAAACATTTAAGGTTCACTTTACTACACAAAATTGGTGCAATAATTATGTCTGCGCACGAGTGAAAGAGATATGTAATGCCGGCTCATTCATCGTACGAAACGATTTCTGTTCGGCGATTGTGCTATACTTATCTATATCTCAGATCATAGAAAGTAAGAACGCTGTTGTGATTTGTTTGTATTCGCATGTTTAAAAATATTGACTGGGGGGGGGGGGGGGGGGGGCTTAACTGAAAAGTGTGGGGCCCATACAAACGACTACTATATACGTATAATAGCTTCGTGTTCATATTATATATAAATGTTCGATACACAAACACGCTACGACAAATCATGTCAAATCAATGAGAAAATTTTTAAACGCCACCGCTTTTAAATGTAATTGTAACATTATAGTGTATGTTACCATTGTATGTGGCAAATAAATGTATATTCTTTCTTTACTAAATTCGTGTAATGGAGGAGAAGTCCTTTGATTGTTTTCTTGTTAATGAGAATGTTTAGCTATTTCAATAGTATAAATATTATTATAATAAACTATTTCAATGTATATCTTTAAAATAAATATAGCAAAAATTATTAAATATAATATACTTTCTATGATTTGATATCTATACATCCCATCACGAATGTTTGTCTCATCACTCATCATTGAAGGAATTTGGAATGTTGGAATTTTGGCCAATTACAAAAAAGAAAACGAAATCAAACAGAAATTAATTAAATAATCGTATTCTGAAATTCGAAGGTGAAAATTTTGTTATTATAATTTATTTTAAAAACTACAGTACTACTCGTAGAACATTTGCTAACAAAATATTAACAAATGTAAAGACTTTATTTATTTTCTCATGACTGTCTTAACCTTAAATAGATAAAACAAAAATACTACAACAACTTGCAGTTATTATTATAAGTACTGAGTTTGTTTCCCTTATAGTAAGCAAATATTAAGAACCACGTTATAAACGTGATTTAAGTAGTATATAAGACGAAAATTGTTTAGGTAAATAGAGATCTACAATTTGGAATTTAGTATTATTTCTCCCTACCGCGCTGACACTATTTCACCCTAGCGCAATAGGTAGCTATTTATATTGCTTCCTTCATTAAAATACATAAAGGTTCTGTCAAAATACTAGTTCTATTATAACAAAATTAAAGAAGAAAAAATATAAAAAAAAAAAGAATAGAAACTCACGGTGGCTGGGGTAACGGGACTCAGGATATTATTTGGCAGTTTGGTCAACGCCTGCAGGATAACATTAATTTTTTTTATATCAAAATAAGGAATCATTTCGCTAGTAAAATATTGACATAGTAAACAAATCATAAAAAATAAGATTATGGAAAACTATTAAAACACTAGTTTGTCTGTGGATGTTCAATGGACAAAAAAGTTTTTGAGAAATAACATGGATGTCAATTTTCGTATACGGAGAAAATCTTCTTATTTACTTCTTAGAGAAAACTTTAGTAAGTGAATGAGAAACTCTTACAAAATTCGCATTTCAAAGTAGTGGCTTCATTGAGAATATGACGTTAATTACGGTTTTAACTTGAGTAAATAAAATGCCATTTGCATGTGTACAAATCGACCACATATACTTCAGAAAATGGTCGATCTGTACATTTAATCACTTAAATGTAAATGACATACATGGAATTTGCTCCAGGAGGGTTTAAACAAAAGATTGTGTAAATTAGAAAGGATGAGAACTAGTGACAAGCATATCTATTTCACTGACCCGACACATTCTTCCGATGATCTTCTTGGATACGAGCTGCACATTGGCTGAAGCGAGCGCGACTGCCGTATCAGCCATTATCTCAACCATGGGAGAACCAAGCCCTGATCATATGAAATTCCACCTTCATAACTGACATTCAAAGACTAGTTTCTATTAGCTATAAACTGTAGTAAATTTATATAAAAGAAACTATTCTATTCTAATTATCGACATACTTCCAAGTGATCTACATAACAACATTATGTATTATATTTTTCGTGATCTCTGTTCATTGGTGAAAACTTTATGAAGAATTATTAGGTACTTTTACAGTTTTATTAATAAACAAGATTTGAGTAAAGAACAATGGTCAAAATGGACTACGAAAAAAAAAGTTCTTGTACCAAGATGGAACTATCACCAAAATGTAGTATAAGTTGAATGTAATTATTATATACCAACAATTTATTTTTATAAGCTGGGAAAAGAAAGATAATGCTCTCTAAAATATGTCTTTATTTTTTAGAACGCAGTTTAAATTATGTTATTTTTGAACGCATTTTATTAATAATGTCATTCCTAGAGAAGTCCCTCTCTTTTCAAAGAATAAGATCGATTTTATTTCTGACTAATCGAATTTGTTACAAATCTTATATTATTTACTAACCATATAAAGCCGTGAAAATTATAAAACTTAGATTTGATTACTAATATAATTAGATTTTACTTAGAGAAAAATAGTTTATTTATAATGAAATTAAAAACAAATGATTATACATAAGAATCGATATTACAGTATTCAATCGATTGCGACCTCCCTTTTTTAGACAAATATGTGTAGACGTGTTTCTACGCAGACCGTTTTGTAACTTTGGCGGTGATTTTGTATTATCTTCTGTATTATGGGGAGCATACTAGGTTCCATAGGCAGTATAGAATTGAGGTCTGGAGAGAAATACCGGATTTTCTGGATTAATTAGAATTAGACTTAAATATAAATAAAGTCCTAATTATAAGGAGTAGAATTAAGTCGAGACATTGGGAGGAAACAATATTATGTGTACATTTTAAAGAATAATGACACATCCGGGTTAGATGGCATAAGAGAACAGTGCTGTAATTGTCTTATTGGTCGATCTACACTGGGATGCTGTGCTCATATAATGACCATAGTTTGGTATCTTGGATGGGCCAGACACGAACAGAATGTAGCTGCTCCTGCAGCATTCCGTGATGAGGTGTTCATTAGAGTTGTAATAAAGAAAAGAAAAATCAACATGTTGTTTTGCTATATTGATGTGTATGCTAATAAATAAAATACGACAGTACTAGATCGAAACTGGTTTATTACTGCTATTGGCTGCACAAAATCTCATAATGTAGAATCATGTGGGTACTTGAATACCTTATTATATCCTTTTGAAATTAGTATTTTCACTACTACTTAGTTATAGTGTAAGATAGAAAAGTAGAGTTATTGAGAGGAATCTTAAAAATTCTAGTTTTTTTTTTTTTGATGTTCATTGGTTCACAAACAATGATTTTATTTCTTACAGTCAATAAAAATAATTTATCAGATATGGAGCAAGTTTGAAGTATTATGTAAAAGTATGCACTTCTAGGACTAGAATTAGGCTTTATCTGGCGTGTGCTTTACATATTTCAATTGTAATACCTCTAACTCAAAATGCTACAGTTTAAATAATACGACATAACCTCAGACACATATTACACAATTACTCGATACTCCCAGTTTTTAAAAATATATTGAATGTCTTTCTTTGTTCTAGTTGCATAGGCAAACAAAATAACATATGTTTCATCAAGTTACGTTTTATTCGATTTTACTAGTCCAAGCATGTTAGGCAGTTGGCCATTGTTCTTTATGCTGAGATTGCATTTAGTATCATAATTGGTATTATTAAACAGAAACTTAGCAAAGGTAATCCAAAGGAGTAATATTTACTCTTAGAAGGTAGTAGGTTTGTTTATGCTTTGTATAATATGAATTTGAACTAATAGTAAAATTGAAATTTTACTGATGCCAAACCTTGTTTATTAAAAGCACTGTTAGCTTATCGCACTAAAACAGACACACTCGCGAGGGGGAGTTATGGGTAATTTATTATGTTTAGATTGTTAGCTACACTTGCGAATATCGAAATACTATGCAATCAGATCGCGAATCTATTTCGGGAGAATATATACTGAGAAGAACCAGCAAGAAAATCAGCAAGGCCTGCTTTTGCTCACTATTTTCTTTTACACATGTAAAAAAATAATGAAACTTTATAATATTAGGGAACGAAATCATTGAATCACTTCCACCCAGAATAAACACAGCATTGGGTTGATCTAGCAGAGGATTGGAGCTGATACCTAATTCTACTCACTCCGATTACTGATAATTATAATTCAAAGTAATCTTCTTACCCGAGTTGACACTCCTCTGTATGAAACTGTCCAGCACCATGTCGATCAGCTCTGGTACCTGTCCTATTGAACCCCATATCTTGGCTTGCACCGAAGGATACATTTCCGTTTCTTCGATAGTAAGAGTTATTAGTTTCTCTAGGATTTGCGCCACTTGCTTCTGACGGCGAGACTCATCGGATGGTTTGCAAAATCTGGTATCACAGAGGTAAATAGATATTACACTAAACAGGTTTTCAATAAGTAATTGCAAATGTTTATTTTATTTTACTTAATTAAATGCGTTTTCTAGACTTAAATTTGAAATAAAATTTTAATTGTTATATCCGTGAAAACGCTGTATACCATACTCATGACGTCATTATGGTATGTAAACTAAACAGACGCAGTTTTGTTTCACCTACTCTCCCTCCCCACATATTCGCCAGCGTTATAATTCTTATTTACTGTTTTATTATAGTTTTATCTTAGTTTTATCTTGTATACTTAACAGAGTATTTTCCATAAAGATTTAAATTTTACAATCAGACAAGAACTGTGTTATTTAACAATCCGCTGCAGACTATAAATCTAATATATATAAGATAAAATAGATAAATAAAAAATAACGTTATTTAGGAGTTACGGTAAATAGGTTAACGACTGGTCTGGCTGATGCAGTTTTTTTTGCTAGCATGACGTCACACCATGGCATGTCGTGTTTCGGGTCACGTGATACACAGATTAAAAAAAAAAAAAATGATAAAGATACAGAGATAAAGGTGGATATAGTACCTGACTAAATTAGCGAGCCACGGCGTCATGTATTCCAAGCACAAATGTTTCAGTTCTATCGAAGAACCTCTAAAGCCCTGTGAAAAGAAGTCTATAATTACTAGTGTTGTAAATGAGATATTTTCGAGTAATTGTTAGTAAAATTACTATAGGAGAAGTAAAATATATTAAATTTATAACAAAACTTCGAAATTTAGCCGTCAATTTTCGACCTAATTATCAATATTTTAGGGTTTAAAATGAATAGGAAATATATGCGCTAGTGCCTAACTAGAGAGGCCAGCAATTAAATCTCTTATTAAAGACTTTAAAATACAGTATGTTTCATTGCATATAACTATATTTTAATGCATTTGATATCAAATTTATTCAGTCTAGGCTGTTACAAAGCACATCATTTCATATGACAATTTAAAAAGATTAATATGGATATACCTGTATACACTCTTCTAGAAATTCAAGTGTCAAGTGTGGTTCGTTGTGAGCCAATTTCTCGCTAACAGATTTTATGAAGATCGTATTATTTGACGGTATGCACAGACCTAAAAATTTGGTAAAAAAATATATTGATTTAATATTTATCGATATTAAGTAATTTTCTATAGTGTTTAAGGTAAAAAGTATTATTCGCTTTCAAAACTTGATTAGGTATGTCTGAACTATAAAAATAGTATCAAAAGTAATTGGGATACAAAGAGGTAATGTGATTTTCAAGAATTTCATAACGATATCTAATATGGATATGATTTGTTAAACTCAGTATAAATTTTCATTTTCCATATCGTAATGGTGGCGTTTAGTTCAATTTAATTTGGAGCTTATCACGTAAGACCGCACGTCTGGAATTGAGTTTGCTTTAAATACTAACTACGGCTAGTACGTTGTGACTAAATACTGTAAGTAATACCTGAACTTTCATATCAAGAAAATCATAAATATATAGTCAATTTATGTAAAACTACGATAAGCATTAAACATGTTGAGATTAAATATCTTACCTGATGTTTCCAACAGTTGCCCCTCTATCTTGAGATGAAACGTGGCAGTCAAAGCGCACAGTTGATTATATGCAGCGGTTCTCAAATTAGGGTCGCACGAGCCCAGATTGAGTAGCGCCATATTAAGTAAAGTTCCGGGCACATCTTTAGGTCTTATTTTTTGATGGACAGTTACTGAGTCCTGCCAAAAAGAAATTTTATTAAAATAAAAAAAAGTCAAGTCATTTAATATATTAAATCAAATTTAGATTACTCATAAGATTTTATATCTAACAAGACCGAGGCGTATTGGTAAGCGTGTTCGGTTAGCATTGAAAAAGACGCAATTTTCGCAAGGTCCAGTCAGGATGGGTGACCAAAAATGTATTAGCTTGAATTCTTCTTTGCTATGAAATACGTTTAACCGTAAGTCATTACTGGATCTGTAGTCTTTAACACCCACCAATTTTCACTGGGCCTTCATGGTAGGTTATTAAGACCTGTGCCCCAGCTACGAGATATTACAGGTTGATGAAAAGATAACAAAAGTTTACTAGACCATAATTGAAATTATTATTAATTAGATTAAAACAAGAAAAATCATTTACAGAAAACAGAGGTAAAAGAAATAAGTAATAATATTATTTGCTTAAACGGAATACTAATAAGTATAACTGTGTCAAATTGAGATTGATCAATGTCATTTAAAATACATATCTATTTATATGTACTTAAAGTGCACTCACCGGTTGACTCAGTTCCCATCTATTCCGTATATGTATGATGGATTGTACTATATTATCGCAGTCGTTGTGTATGAAGCTCAAAGGTGTAGCTTCGTTAATGATTGAAAGCGAGAACTGATTGTCGTCTACCAGACACACCTATTGAAAGAGAAAAGTATAAAGTTAATATATATTTTTTTACTCATAAAGTCGATATTCGAATTAAAAACTTATTATTATTATTTTTTTTAATTTAAAACATTAAATTTCCAAATTATCAGTTCCAAAATTCTTGCTTTCCACCAAAAAGGGTAATAACTGGCATATACATTTTTTTTTTTTTTACAAAAAAGGTTATGTAACATATTTTTCACTTAAAAAAATATCATAACATCATTTATAATGCAAAATTATTTGGCTGATCGGTAAGAGATCGAATCATGAACTAAGATAGAAATATAGCTTATTTACCTCATCTATTTCGGAAGCATAATAAACGTCATTCAATAACACTGGCAGCCCCAACACTTTCGTCTTTTCAACAGACGTGATCTGTAAAGCTGTAGGACCGACCTGGAAACGATTTAATTATTAGGAAATTATTAAGTATTAAGTATTAGGAAAAGGAATAAGAGAAAAAAGTGTAATAATAAGAAAAAAGCTAATTACCATAAAACATAACTTTTCTTCAAGCAATTTCGAGCTTAATAAGTAACAATTAAAGTTCCAAGTCAGTTCAATCAATATTTACGTGTAATATGTTGGTAGTTGACTATTTATGAACTTAAGCTCAGTAAAATCATTAAAACTATAACTAATGTTTAAGATACGGGTGGGCTAAAGGGAATTAGCTGATCTTCGAAGGAAAAAATACATTAAAACATGCTAATAAAGGTGATAATACCTTGATTGCAACTTTGGTGTCCTTGTGTGATAATTTCAGTGCGTTGTTGAATACCTTCAGATCTTCCTCTAGGGCTAGTGTCGCTCCGGGTAACTTCTGTTGTTCGCTATCTACGTATTCGCTTAGACGACTGTGATTGTCTATGAATACTAATTTACGATTGCCCTGATAGACAAGTTATAAAACATTATTTATTAGTAAACTATTGTTAATTAAATTGAAAGCAGTCATATTAAAAGTCTGATTTCGAATGTATTTATCACTTTTAGCAGTCGAAATTTAAGCTATGCTGAAATTTATGTCAAGTTCAATCAACGGTTAAAGTTAAAATAAATGTTTAAATTTACTTGCGTGACGTCAAAGCTTAAATTTCTATAATAATATTATAAAGAGGAAAGATTTGATTATTTGTTTGTTTGCAACGAATAGGCTCCAAAACTACAGGAACGATTTAAAAAAATTCTTTCACATGTGGGCAGCTGCATCATATGAGGTGAACATAGGCTATATTTTATCGAGAAAGCAAATAAGGCGATGTAAATGAGAGTGGAAGTTTGTATAGAGAATTAAAACGTTACCATGGTAACCATTGTTTACTATTTAATTTACCATTGTCATTATATGAATCGATATCAAGTAAACAGTTCTTTAGGAACCACGTGAATAAAGCCATCGGTTTTCCACCTATTATTTCTATAAAATAAAACATTTATTTGTAATTTAACTTAGACACTTTCAATTTTGGTCCAAAAATTGGCCCTTTTTGTCTAAAGCCGAAAGTGGTTTGTTATCATTATTTTTAACGACAGCTTATACAACGTTACACGGAGGGGAGAGGGGGTTTACGTAGTGTGATATTAGAATAATATTCAGTATAATTTATATAGAAAATATGGGAAGCGGGAATTATCATGATCATGTGACGTAATTTACGGTTGACGCCTAAGTACATGTTTTTAGTTTAAAAATTCTTAAGTTTAACCTACCCTCAATGGCGCGAGTATGGCTTCGTGGAACTTGGTGTACTCTCTCACCCAGCTGTTACAGTTGTAAATGTAGCAAGCGTGTATATTTATATAAGCCACCTCCGGCAGTACTGTGAACCATTTCTGGAGGAAGTCAGTCCTGGACAACGAAACAGAATGAGTACGGGGTCAAGATGAAGTAATTTATTATACTGGTTTAGATGTGCAATAGATATGACTTGCCCAAGTACCAAATAATTCATAAGAAACAAGTGATCATAGATGCCCAGATTCTTAAAACTCATTTAATAGTTATTATTTTTTAATATTTCCTTTATAATAAACATACAGGGTTATTAGTAAAACACCAACAACCTTGTAGGTCAACATAGCCAACACAATAAACAACAACATCCAAACTACATACTTTGATAATAATTTGTTACACTTTACTTTTATGCAAAACTGAAGAATCATGTCCACTTTCCATACATTGATTGACATGTTACATTTTTTAAAGGTTACGTCTACCTCTACCGCCACTATTAGTGACAATTTACGTTGTTTTTAAATAATAATAGTATTAAGCATCTTTTCATCTGGAAGCCAGGGAGATTTGTAATCTGTAAATGTTTTGAGGTTATATTAGCTATCAAATCATCAAGATAATTGTGAAGCTATTTAAAAATTAAAGCATTACAATAAAAGCTTTTTATAGTTTGACTCGTACAAATGTAGAAATAAATTAATATGTAATTGTTAATGTTTACAGAAAAAATATTCATTCATATTTTTCCGTAGTTTTTAAAACGAATCGTACCAAACCCTCATTGTACGGTCGGAATCGCATAGGGATAACTTTTTGAAAATATTTATCATCATCGCATTTTTTATTCTGACTTTATTTTAAGACTTATTACACGATATGTAATAAGTAAAAATAAACTAATTTTTGAGTTATATCACATCACTAGACGCGTTAGTAATTGGACATGATTCTTTATATTTAATTTACGACTCGGATGTTAATAGCTATGCTTGATATCAATATGTAGGTATTTCACACAGCGTGTGTGTATCATGCTTTAATTTTTGAATAAAACATAGACGTATAAATATAACGAGAGCATAATAAGTTAGTAGTCATGTCAAATTTCATACACCAAATATTGTCGTTGGAGATGTAAAATGTCTATTTCTGAAAGTTTGCTGGTGTTTTATACATAACCCTGTATATAAGTACAAATACAATAATAATTTATTAGATCCACATAATATACATTGATTCAACTTTTGAAACGTTCTAATGGAATCGCATGTTAGATTGCATCACCTTGTACAGAAAGTATCAACAAGTATAATCTAACAGATAAGATTTACATAAAATACTATTATTAATTATTATACATCGTAATAACATTGAATATGAATGAATGATATTTAATGCTTCGATATTTACTTGAGTATGTGATTTGCATGCTGTTTTGTAATGGCAACACATTGAAATATTGTACCATTTAACATCCTTACATCACATGTAATCCTTACATCAAAGAAAATGACAGGTAATAACAACATTACGACACTCGAGAGTTGTTTGTTTCAGAATGCCAAAAAAATTGCGTAATGTTGTTATTTTCGTAGTTTATGAACTATATCAGTTTCTGAACACGTATATCCCCAGGATTGTTGGGTTCAAACGAATGTGAAAAAATTCAATCATAAAATTATCAAAAACACCGCATTAAAACAAACGCACTCTATAAGCGTTCAAAAACAAGACAAGATGGATTCTTTATCATGTTTTAAATGAATATAGTGTATTAGAGATCTCTATCCCAAAAATTGAAAGTAACTTTAATACTTTTATGAAAATATTAAAAAAAAATTTTTTTTTTTCATTATATAGGGCATATGGCAAAACCGTGATATTGTGGGAGCATTAAAAGAAAAACCCGAAACACGATAGACCTAGACTTTGGGTTGATGAGAATGACAACGACTCGGACAGCATCTCAGTGGTATGCTAAGGCTAAGATCGATCAGACTTTTTAGGGTTTTTTCAGTTCATAAATGAAAATTAAAAATATAATTTATGTAAATATTCAATTCAAATGTCACGAGAATTAATAGAATGCTTTTAAATTTAATATTTGCTATCATATAATATACTGGGATATTGAGATTATCTGTATGCAAAAAAAATATCCAGGGATTAGAAAAAAAGCAAGGATTGAAATCCCTAACTGTAAAAAATGAACGGATGAGCACGACAGTGATACCGTGATATACCTGAACCTGTTATCCGAGTTTGTGTGCGTGAAGTCCACTATCAGCTCGAACGGCTGTTGGCAGAACGGCTTCAGGGTCAGGATCACGTGATAGATGAGCAGGTCGGCGTTCACTTCACCGATTCTGATAATTTAAAGTGAAAATTGTATATGTTACTCGAAGATATAAATTATTTCAATGATAAATTTAATTAAAATTAATCTAGTAATTTTCCCGTGGAGAAACATCCTATCTTTGTAATATTGAATGTATTCATTTATTCCATCGTTTGGGTAAGTTTTGTCTCTTCATAACTCAAGTGAATTCCACCTAATATGGCGGCGTCTTCATTTGTGCTAACCAGACGAATTTCCGACGATTATAATGTATAATGAGTCTTGTTACGATAACTATAAGGTGTAAATTACAACGCACTAGGTGTTCATCTCACTCACACCCAGTGCCATATTTGAACTTTTTTGATTGGCTGACATTTACCGCGCTTCCAAATTAACATACGAACCGAAACTTAACTTTTACTGGCACGGAATATATATAAATTAAACGCAAATTTTGACCACCCTCCCCCCCTTCTCATAAAAGACTTGATACTTACTTGTATCTTCTGGATATGAAATAGAACACAGGGTTCCCTAACTTGCTGGTGCCAGCCTGGTAGAATATGTTCAGACTCTTGATACTCTTGAACTCCTCTTTTTCATGCATGTTATGTTTCACTATGAACTCTTCGAAGTTTGTCGATGACATATCTATTGAGGACCATCGAGCGTACGACGAGAATAGAAGACCGGATGTGCTAGAAGGTTTGTTTTAATTTAACTTTAATTATACCTTAAAACAAGCTCAATTTACTAGAAGAATTAATTTCAGACTATGAATAAGCATTTAACTGTAATTAATAAAGTGAAACTGAAATAATTGGAGTTTATAATTGTAAATAATAACTTTTCATAAGAGTTTATTTTTATTATTGTCAATAATATTATAATTTTTGTGACTTACGATTCAACAGGTTTGTGTTCAGGCGGACCCAAATATGCTAGTAAAGTCGCCATCTAAAAACATAGAATTATACGAATCTTCGAAAAAAGTAATTGAAATATTCACAAAAACTGCATCACGTACTTAAAGCTATTTAATTTCCAATTACAGGCAGCCATATTCTTGCTTTAGTATAATACTTTTATGGTCCTAATAGTGAAGTTATTAATAGTTATAATAATAATAAAGCGATAAGGTTTAAAGTACCTTATCAAAGGGTCTCCTCCCGACTGCCTTGTGGTCTCTACTGCAAGATAGGTAATCTCCTATCCTCTCCTGGTGGTTCCATAACAGACGGTGTAACGCGACTACGTTGGCGTCGCTGATGAAGGACAGGTTATGCGACGTCTGATCAACGCTTTCGCAATCCGACGCTATTTGTATGAAGAATCTGTTAAGTAAATTCCATTGACATGTTTACCAAACCTCGAGGTGCTATTATATCGAATGATATACACTGACTTTTAAGGAGAGTTGCAGTAGTACCTTTACATTGTTATTGATAAACAAGGCTTAGCGATGGAGTAAATTTACGCTGATACTGCACTTAGTATGAGTCAAAATTCATATTATTAAACAGAGAATTAGCAAAGGTTAACCTAGTACGAGGTTCTACGGGAAATTTGGACAAATACTAAAATTGCAATTTTAGCGTAAATTTACTCTGACGCTAAAACTTGTTAATTAATAGCTCTATTTATGATTAAATACACTAGCATTATAATATTTGTGCATAAAAATTGTTACAAAATTTTACACATTTATTATTATTAAGAGCAAATACGAACATGGCTTCTACATCTATAATAAAATTTATTCGATAATAAAAAACCAAAAGGTATGCCGTATAGTTTTAAAGATTTTTTCGAATTAATAACATTAAAGTCATCATTATCGGCTTCTAAAATGTTAATAAATAACTCACTTGCGTCCTTGCTCGAAGTGTGCTCTAAGGAAGTCATTGAACGGCAACATGTGTTGTTCTTTAGAGAATTCCACGTGGTTCGCTATGTTCTGCAATATCTTGGACATCAGCATTAGACCACGCTTCAACTGAGCGGGTACGGGCCGACTTACTATACCCATCTCTTGGGGAGACACTACACGAATGTAACAAATATTAATAAGAAATATTAGTTTATAAAGTATTTTTAAACCAGTTTTTCAAGGAGCTCGGTGGCGTAGTGAATATCATGTTTTTATATATCATGTACAAATATAAATCAATCTACTAAAGTGCACAGTGAGATATCTAGTTGTAGTTTTAATTAAATATAAAAGTTAATATTCGTTCAATTAACTAACGACATTGAGTGTTTATTAATCAGTGTTATTAAAAAATAAATCGAATAGTTCACTGGTTCGCCAAGAGAGAGAAAGACCATGTACTGAGAAGAACCAGCAGGAAACTCAGCAAGGGCAGCTCTTTTTCTCCGTTAAGTTTTATATCGTGACTTCAAGAGTATGAAGTCACCTTTCACTTGAAATAATCAATAAACTTCAGATGAAACTGGCAACACTCACCGATCGCTGGATTGATGAATCTCAAGAATAAAACTGTTCCAACAGCACCGACACTAGTTTGAGGGAACTGAGCGAACCTCTTGCTCAGTACCTAATAAAGAATAAAGACAAATCTATACTATCCGCCTTACAACTTTTGGATGCTTGGTGCAAAAGCGGATCTGGGAGATCGACCATAGATATTTTTTCCTAATTCCAATAAATTAATTCAATAAAATGCGAATGCATTCTCTATTTTGTGACTCCCTGACTTAAAGAGTGGATCTGTCTTTGGCTCCATTTATGGGTAAATACGTGTAAAGTAATAGTTGCTGGTTGTAGGAGTTCTCGCCGCTTATACAAAAACTTTTACGGGCTGCGGAGAGATATCTTACAGTTATTATTTGGGTGTAGAGATCACTAAATATCGTTAAGTTACCGCAGGGTAAAAGTTAAGTAGTTCAAATATGTATTTTAAAAACTTTATCGTTCATCAACATTTGAGTTACTAAATACTAAATATTATTACGCACAAATTAACAAATTATTTGTTTTAATATATGTGTCTTCACATCTTGTTGACAACTCGGTGAATATCGAAATATTTTATAAAATAAAAACTCTTTCTATTCAAACCTTTTTAAACTACTTATTTCACGTACAGTATACAATATGATACCTGGTATAAGCAATGACACATGCTACGCAATTGCGGCGGGAATTTGTCAGCTGAATTCACTATTCTGTCGAACACCTCTTTGGTTAGATCTATAAGATTGGACCGGTTCATCTCTATATCTTGGTTCGGATCCAACCTGGAACAAGAAATTTAAAAAAATCTTTAAAAAAAAGGCCATTCATAGTTGACAGAGTACCCTAGTAATGGACAACATTTTCTTAAACGAAGTCATTTAAAATGTTTATTACGAATCGCTTAGCTTAGATAGGAGGATATATACTATGAACCAAAAAAGACTCGAATATTTCAGTTGTCCTATGGATCGGCCATTTTTTCCGCGTCCGCGCTGAAAAATCATTAAATCCATATAAATTAAATTATGCGTAGGAAGGTGGCCGGGGAAGAATACCTAGGTGCCCACTCTATAATTTTCACCAACAATTTTTTTTGTCAATAACCTTAGAATTAAGCACCTCCAAGGCGTTTTAAGCGGGAGTCCAAACTTCTCTGGAAAATATCTCCAAGTACCCTCTGGATATGATAATTTACCTGGCGGGGTCAACTTCGAAGCTCAACTCTGTTTGCCCCTCGAACTGGTCCAGCAGTGCTGTGATCAACGGTTCCAGCAACGATTGCAAGTAACCGTGACCGTATATTTTGAAACAGAATGCCATTATCTTGCTGCCTAGTGAATTGCCACGGAATAGTGTTTGCATGCAGTCTGATACCTACAAAAAATTTACCGCTATATTATTAGACTATACACGATATTTTAATGGCCACATATAGATCGATGGCAGTCTTTAGCGCTTCCGGTTTACAATTCCAAATACTAAGCAACTTTGACAAAGACCGGTCATCGGATGGGTGATCGAGAATTTTTATGTCGAGATACACTTCGGAACTCATATCTTCGTATTTTGGTCCTACGGTCAACTATGACCCGCTTTCTTTAAGTGATTCTATCAATACAAAATTTCTAGTGGAAACTTATTTAGTTTAAATAATAAAAGTTGTATCTTACTGTACAGAATAACTATATACTTTATAAGTTCTTTTAATATATTGAAATATTGTTTTAATATGGGAATTGAATTTCTTAAATACTATATTTTATAAAACTACTTAAGATTAAGGTTATATGGAAGCTCACCTCAACTTCTCTATAGAATATATTCCATAATAACGGTGCTAAGAGATGTTTAGCATCGAACAGAGTTACGAATACTCTGGCCAATTCATCCATTTGTGATGTGCTGACCACGTTAGCTAGAGCCATGGCTATTGGCAATTCACCCTGAAATCAGGACGCACGTAAAAATGATACTCACCGCCATCTTTCTGTTCTGCAGGCTTAGTGTAAGTAATTTACCTACAGGTTAACTAATTTTACGGCCGAGTGGCTAGCTCGTCGGTTTGAAGATGTCTCAATCTCTGGGGTCCCGAGTTTGATTCCCGGTCGGGTCATTGTCGAAAATATAACTTATTATTATTGGGTCTAGATGTTGTGATACCTTCATTGTTTCGGATTTTATTAATACAAGAGCTTCAGCTACTTAAATGTCTTATATTTATTTAAAGAGTCATATGGCTGTCGTTGACTTCGAATAATCAGGCCTCAGTGTCTAATTTTAAAACCTCCCTTTCAATTTGACGTTTAAAAGATAATTACGAACTTCACTCTATGACTATTTGACATCTCATAGCGATGGCAATAGACACTTTTTTTCGAAAAATATGAATGAACGATATCGTTAATTTTAACGTATATTGGAATTATCTTAAGCAAAGGTTAGACCCAAATATTATTTTAGATTACGAAGTTTTTATTGTTTGTTAATAATTCAAAACGTCATTCGTTTCAAAAGCGATAGTGACTTTAAACTTTAATTAAAAGCATGAATAGCTATCACGATGACGGGATTGCGATAGATAATCATATTAGACAATTAAGCGACAGGTACGTAATTTCATGATATCAATAAGCGATTATAGCATACGATCGCCATCTCACAGTGTGTAGATACACAATTCTATGAAACATAATAAGTGCAAGGCAGGCCCGGATCTAGGGGGGAGGCTAGTGGGGACACTTGGCCCCAGGCGCTAGTGTGACACTAGAAACTAGCCTACAATGTGTCTGAAGAGATTTATAAAAAAGAAAGAGTTTTACAAATCTTTTCAGATACATTATAAGTTAGGCCATGATGGAACGGCCATGCTTTTAAATCTCTAAATGAAATAATATAAACATATCGTAATATAAAATCCGGCTTCACGGATAATGAGAGGGGGGACATATGAAGCTTCTGTTCCGGTTAAAAAAAATCGTAGATCCGGGCCTGGTGCAAGGCTGCAAGCTCTCTTCAACGTATCTGTAAATACACCATGTACTCACTTTATCGGAGATCATAGTGACAAGTTGCACCAGTTGTTCGAACCTATCCGCCAGTACTGTCTCCGCGAGGGTGTCGAATTCTGTTCCCTGCTGGAGTATTTTCGTCAACACCTCCATGAAAGCGGCGCGCGTTTGAAGATCGCGGTGATACCCTAAATCTGTTTGAAGGAAATAATTCATTAAAATAAGAATTGGTTGTTCGTACCCAGCGCCGGCTTTAAGGTGTCACCATCTCTCAGGTCCCAGGTTTGATTCCCGGTGGGCTCAATGTAATCAATAAAAATATAATAAAGTTTTTTTTTAAAAAAGAACCTTTTATTTGTGAATCAAATTTGTTTTCAAGTTCAAGCTTTTCAAGGCAATTACTGTTAAAGAAAATTTTGATTATATGTACTTAAAATGTTTAGACTTTATTTATTTACGTTTTAATGCGCACAAATAAAATTTTATTTAATTTTTTTTTAATTATATTTTTACTTTTTAGTTTTGTTACAATATGTTGTTGTTCTTATAAAGACTGATCTAAAGAGTCCAAACACGATGCAGTTGGATTATTACATCACTAAGTTCCTATAATCATCCGACTTCATCATCATATCAGACAGAACAGATATATTCACGCCGTACCCCTTGCAAAGTAGGCAGAGGACCGAACGCCACAATTTACGACCCTTATTTACATTTTTCACTTCATCCACTTTCATTACTTTTTTTACACATTCTCACCGATTTTTATGTTTATGTTGTCTTATATTTATTTCCATATTCCTATTCGGTTCCATCTATAACGAGTATCTGTGCCCCAGAAAGAAGCGGGGACATTTATAGGTGATTGGTAACCGTATTAATACCCGTACCTATACTGTGCATTAGTCCTGAATCGATATTAGCACTCAGCAAGTTGGACATCGCTTGTATCGTAGCGTTCCTCAATGTCTCCAGTCTTCCGGGACCTTCCGCTAATTCCACTTCATTGCAGTCGTTCAGTAGATTCATGAATAAAGTGAAATATCTAAAATGTAACACTTAACATTTATATGGATATTATTAGTAATCTAACTTGGGATATGAACCCACTGTGTAATGTGTTTAATATTTATTATTATTTAAATAACATTATACACACAGATTTAATTATATAAAACTAATGATATCCATTATTCAAAGGAAAATGATTCTTATTGAGAATCAGCGTATTATTTATATAACAAATTCTGAATAAGATATTTAACTCTGTTTAAAAAAGTTCTTGCAAAAACGCTGTCCGTCATGTTCATGACGTCATTTCAATACGCTTACAAAACAGTCAAATATATATTATTTTAATTAGATGAGAATACTGCCATCTAACGATCTTACTACAAATTAAAACGATATGAGTAAGAAAAAAACAGTGACATCAAGGCATCTGCTGTAAAATAAATAGGTAGCTTAATCTGCCAGATGCAGAAATGTCACTGGCGACATGACGTCACACAATGGCGGGTCGTGTCAAATTAAAATATCACATTTGTTTGTGGAATTTCGTTATTTATTTTTCACAAGCGAAATTACCCTCTTATTAGTCTTTTCGCATTTGTTGGACACTGGAATAGTAATGTAGGTGTATGTAAGTTTTCTTGGTATGTTTTTTTATAATACGTGTTATGGCAAACAATGAGAATATGAGTTTGGTTACTTGAGAAACAGTTGACTCTTGGCTTCCATGAGATCTCCACGGTCTGACTCCTCGGGCTGTAACGGTAGACCTTTCAGCAGCGCAGCCACTGCCTCCATACACGCCTGGTCTAATTCACGGCAACATACCAGGTATCTGTACGTACCAATTGCCATTGTTACAATTTCTATCAGCTATAATGCTAACCATTATTTCCCAGGGTCTAGTATCGTTATTTGTATTCAAGATTTTATTTTATTTTATATGAAAATAAAAAGCATATTATTACGAAATTGTAGCTATATCGACCAACATCAGCCGTTGACCTCTAAAACTGTAAAGATATTCTTTATCCCCGATGTTAGTAGATTATAATATAACACATATAATTCAGAGCAAA